TAAATTCTCTTAAAATAAACCTTCATTTCGATGCAATATTAAAATTAGCTTGAATTCTTCATAACCTCTGAATAGTGGTTGACCCAACTGGTCACATTGGTCTAGTTTATAATAAAGTTTTCTTCATTACCCATTCAAGCCATCTCCAAACTTTTGCTCTTTTATTGGTGTACCAAATACACTTTTTCTGAACTGGGTCATTTTCTGCAGAGTACTAGTAATTTCACAATTGCAAAAGCTGAAGTCAACATATTTTGATTATCTAGAAAAATGACTTTAATTTAAATGATATCAAGCAGTGATAACTGCTTGTGGAGCCATATAAGTTGCCCTTAAACATAGAATTGTTTTCTTTACATCTGATAAAAAAGAATTGCAAAATTTTTTGCATACATTTTTTCTGTGCTCTTTATCAATATTCTGTGCTCCTTACCTTGACCCAATCAATATTGTCCAGCCAGCTATCTCTTATTTCCTTTTGATCTTTGTGAAAAATATATGTTCCTTCTTTATCAAAGTGGCCTTCTTCCAATTCTTCTTTCATGTTAAATGGTGTGATGCGAATATCTCCTTCAAAGTCTACAGTAGCTTCCTCTTGCCCTTGATGGAATGAAAAAAATCAATACTGACAATATTTGACTTTTCAGACAAAATTAGTTTCCATCACCACTGAAAGAAAGTAAAAAAATATTTTTCTACTAAGACATTCTTCTTTCTTACCCTCATAAATAATGTTGCCTTTATTAACTAAGTCACTTTTCGAAACCATTCACCACTGATAAGAAAGCTTGTCATTCATATAGAATTATTTACCCACCCAATCCATAGTTAATTCACAGTAACATATATGTGATAATGCATTGTCTAGCTTGGTCTTACACAAAAATATGAATTCTAAACTCTTAAATTTTATAATCTAAAAATATTATACTCTCTCTCTCTATATATATAGTTTTAAAAAGTGCAAACAGCCTTCTGTTGTTTGCACTTTTTAAAACAATTAACATATGCTAATAGCAGTGTGACACCAGGTACAAACTGTTCTGATCTATGCCAAATGTGTAGCACTTGTATATTTGGTTCATGAAAAATTCCCAACTATTAGATGTACAATGCTGTCAAAAGTACATTTAAGACTAGATTAATGTGTTACAGCCCTTTTAAAAGAAGGATGATTACATAGTGAGATTGTTAAATGATGAAGGGCCAAAAAGACAAAATTTCAAAGAGTCTTAAATTTTAAGGCAAAAATGGGTTATGAAACCACAAACAAGCCAAAATGGAGCAACACACTCATCCACAAAGTTGAGGCTATGGTTGTGAAAGAGTATAATCTAATCAAAAAAGCCATTGCAATAAAGCTATGTATTTGGTACCATTAACAAGTTAATAAACAAGATTTTTAAGTTTTATGAAGACTCAAGTTTCTAACCTCTCTTCACATTAGAGGCTTTTTTCATGGGAACAATGGCCAAATAAACTGGAACCTCAGCAATCCAATTCAACTACATACCCTCAAGACCCCCATATGCAAAGTTGAGCAATGGCACATAATTTTGCCATCAGAATAGAGATGATCAATAACAGACAAAGTAGTTTCTCTAAGGCTAGGTTATTAGTGACATCTGTGACATAGAGGCCTAATGCATTGCTTGATTGGCCATACCCACTGCTGTGGACTGTAGTTTCATCTATTCAAGGCTAATCACCACAGCTTGGGTATCAAACCAAAGAAATACAGTCAAGCCTCTTATAATGGTGATGTGTATACAAGATTTATCAGATTTTTGAGTCCTTTTTATTTTGTCATAGAGTAATCAAAATTAATTTAGGTGTGTGAATCATCTTATGGCATTGCACCTAATTTATTCTGTAAGTTGCAGATTTCTTTTTCACTAGAGATAAAATTGAAAATAATGTCCTTATGAAGCATGATTTATCATCAGTAGTGTAAATCAATTTTCAGGGTATAATGTACTGATTAAATAGTGCTCAATTCAACTGCTACATCTTGAAATTACCTTCTAACTCTTCAGGATCCAAAAAATTGTATTTTTTTGCAGCTTCTTCATCATCTTCTTCATCACTATCAAGTGAGTTTTTAAAATTATTAGCTGCATCGATACAGTCATTTTCAAATTTCTTTTCCAAAGGTTCCATAAAGTTCTCTTCTTCAGCCAATTTTCGTTTCGCCATGATCTTTACTGTGTTCTAGATAAGACTGAAATCAAACTATTTATCAATTCATATTCATAACAATGGAAAATTAATTGTTATAGATAGAATCTTAAATATCAATGTTTTAATACATACTTTTAAACATGAACACTCTTTGAATATGTACTAAATCATTTAAAACAGACTAAATTTTTACCTTGCATTTGAGGTGTCTACACGTAAGGACCAACTACTTCATGTGTGGTTAAAGTGAAAAAAAAATGTGCTACATCAACTACCCAATATCCAAATAATTGGAAGTTCACTACCTCATAATGCTCACCATAAACAAGTCTTGTTTATTAACCTAGAAGTACATAATACTTATATACACAAAACACAACTTGTTGTAGGAAAATAATTGGCATTTTAACTTCAGTAAGAAGGCTCATAAACATTTGTAGAGCCTAAACACTACTAGATGCTATACATAAAATAAAAACCAGAAGTGTCATAACCAGGGTTGATATATTTGACTCGTGTAGCAGCTGTAAATTATATTATATTAATTTACTGGGGGACATGCCCCAAGACCCCCCAAGATTCAGCTGCTTTTAGCAGCTCCTTATATTTTCAATTTCTCATTGTAAAATCTGCATGTCTAGCCAAGCACCCAACTTTGAAACTCATTCCTACACCACTAGATACCCTAACTAATCACTGAAAAAACTGGTAATTTTTCTTTACTAAATTATGTCAAATCACACATAATCAGTCTTAAGCAATTCAACCCTAACAATGAGATAAATTTCCAGTTAAGTAATAAAGTTTTTCTAAAAAAAAACATTTTTAATAATATATCTGTCTCAGTAATAGTCTTAAGCAATGAACTCAATTGATTACCTACAAGTATTAATTACATATTAAGTTGGCAAAACTATTAAGGATATCTGCTGCCATCCCTAATTTTGAACTGCTGACCAGAAGGAAGGCAAATAACTAGCAGTGCTCACTGCCAACTCTTTATCAATGAATAGGGTTGACTGATTATAAACAGCCTTAGTAGCTTTGCCATAACTCAAACTTGTTCAGCTTCAGACACATACCAATTAAACTCACAAAATATGATGGATAGCACTACTTTCATTGGTGTAACTGCACACAGCAGAAAGTACACAACTCACAAATGTGAGTGTGTGGCCTAATGGTTGCTGGTTACACAGCTGGCCATAGTGATACCTGTTGTTCTGATTTACCTTGTTTCTACTAAACAACAGTGTAGCTGCAACTTAATATATTGCTTACTTATTACAAGATACAAATGTAACTAGTGTTACAGTAAGTTAATATTGATTATTTTTCTTTAAAAACTCAAAAACCACTTTAATTGCTGAATAACTTGCTCATTAAACTGTGTTTGTCAAAAAATACTATACTTGGACTAACAACAGTAGAAATATATAGCACCATTAAGTCATTAACCTATTTTATTAACATGTTCTTGTTTAATTATGGCTAGCTCTAGCTAGATAGGAACAATGAGAAGGGAAAACATGTTTGATTGTCACCATGTGTTTCTTAAACACTGCCTACCTAGTACAGTAAGCTTTAAGTTGATTTATTGATTTCTTAGAATGCATGTGTTTATACAGTTTCTTCCAGCCTACATTTTAAAATGCAAACACATTAGATTGTATTCTTTCTCAACTTTCATTCATATCAACAACTCCTCACTTGAAATCTTATGATTTTTTATACTTATAAAGTTCTCAATTATTTTTAAACTTTTTTTACACTACTGACATTGAATTAAGAAAAAAATTCAGAAATGTCAGTAATAAAAGATTTTTGGTATTACTTTGTTTTAATCTTTCTTATAAAACTTCAACTACCGTCTTATGAATCATTTTAATTTCTGAAAATAGGTTATCTAATTTCATTACAAGTTCTCTTGCCAAACAATTAACATTGTGCTGTCTGCTTTTCTAGGATCAGAGTGTATTTGTTTTCATTGAATTATATATATTATCATACACTATGACAAAAATTGTTATTAGTTTTATAACATTAAATCTAAGGACAATCATTATTTTTTAAAGAATTAGTTTATTTAGTTTTGGAAGAGTAGTCACATGAAAACCTGTATGGAGAAACTTACTGAACAGTTTTAATTTTATTTTCAGCTTGTTACAGTTTTTGTCATACATTGGGTATCTACTATATAAAGTAAAAAAATACATGGTCGCATACATATCTGTTCCTTATACATTTCCACTTTTCTTGATCAATCAGCAACAAACTTGACACAGTGATATAGGATGACATGAAGAAGGTCATGAAGTGGGTGGGAGTGGACCCCCCATCTTCTATATAAATAAAAGTCAATATATGTGTGTGTGTGTACCTGTTCCTTATACATTTCCACTTTTCTTGATCAATCAGCAACAAACTTGACACAGTGATACAGAATGATGAGTAAGGTCATGTGGGGGTTGAACCCTCCCATATAATTTCATATTGTAAGAATTCTTGAAAACAGTATATCTTTCTTTTCAGTATTGGCACTTTTATGTATTTATATTGTACTTTTAATGGTTATTATGATAAGATAAAAACAACAGAAGCACAATTTCCTATCCTTTGTTACAAACAAATTTTTATTTCACCTGTTTAACGGATAGGTACTTCAGCTAGTATGATATATTTTCATGTACAAAAAGTTTAGGATTAGAAAAGTAGCTTAATACTATACTGTTGTTTCTGAAAACATGTATATATTAAATGAAAGCTAGTAACACATTGATTTTGTAATGTTACAAAATATCATGAATTCAAGTCTCAAAGTGAAATAAAAGACTATTATGTAATGGGAATTACTGAAACTTTGTTAGATTTGGAGTATTTAATAGTAAGAAACTTCACAGAAGGAATGGAGTTGCTCTCTATAGATAAGTGATGAATTGCAGTCTTTTAGGAATGAAGACAAATCAAAGTCAAAATGTTGAATCTTTATGGGTTACAATCAGGGATTTCAAATATAGTATCAAATATTGTATAGCTTTTAACTTGCAGTTGCTATTAGATACCTGATTAGACAAATGAAGTAAATGAAAAATTGTATAATGGTACAAGGGCTATTACTAAATAAGGATAATTATAAATGTTATATTTAGTACATACCTAAATAGAAAACACTTATTTCATCATTCCTTAGGTCACTGAGATATCGCACATGGCTATATTATTTATTTACAACAAAAAGCAGCCCAGTGATCCCTGTTGTCAAAAATATAAATTTGTTATTCAAACAATAAGACCAATATTCTTTATGATTTTGAGTATGTAAGTTCAAACTCTGGAATCAAAATTTACATAAAATGTATCATTTTATAAATTGAGGTGCTAAATTTGAATTTTATACCATTTTTTGACTTAATGAGATATAAATTGCAATTTTGTTCAGGGGGTGTCCATATAACACACCTTGATCTTTCTCTTAAGCCATACAAGTAGTGTGCTCTTTAATAAAAGTTGTACTGAAAATAGGATTTCGGGTTATAGTTACAGAGACATTGTGTAAGTCTAAAGAGATTATAATTCATTGTATAGGTCACAAGTTAGGTCTTATTTTGAATATTTTGTTCAGTCTTGAGCTCCTTACCTTAGGAGGGACATTGAATTGTTGGAAAGGGTTTCAGAGGAGAGTTCTATGATGATAATAATGGGATGGAAAGGTTGTCATAAAAGGACTAAATATGATATCTCAAACTGTTTTCTTTGGAAAAAAAGAAGAATTAGATGAGATCTCATTGAAGTGTTTAAGACGTCAAAGGAATTGATAGTGTTTCGATGTATCATCTTTTTGTTTTGTACTTATGGTGAGAATGGTACAATTCTCACAATAATAAATTATGTCAGAGGAAAGAGTCATTTTCAGCCAAGATAGTTTTATTTTTCTAACAGACTGGTTGACCTTTGGAATGGGTACCTTCAGATGTGATAGATGCAGTAACTTTTAAGGAAGAGCTTGAAAAATATTTAAATAATAAGGGGTGGTGAGTTTTTTACTTACCCTGGATGAACAAACATAACCCTTCTTATCCACAAATTTTATGTTATAAAAAGACCACAACTGTGCACAATATTTTAGCCCTAACTAGTAATTTGTATAGAGATAATTAAAAACAAGCTTCCATCCAAACTAGAATTAAAACACCTACTGCCCCTGTGTCAGGGGAAGTTATCAACACAGCATAATACTCTTACTCTTAGACCACTAATGACACTATGCCATTCACTGGTAATTTGTATATAACAATTAGCAAGTTGTTACTTAGGTGAACAAGCAATACTACTACTAGTACTAGACTAGTATCAGTATCAAAGCACCTCAGCATTAATTAATAACAAAGTAACGATTGTACTGCTGACATGACTAACTACTATTATTAATCATAACAAAACTTATTTTAAAATTGAATACTAATAGTAATACTAATATTATTCATACTTTCGAACAGTCTTTTTTAGTTTAACTTGTTTGTCGCTCATTCATGTTTTAACTTATAAAATTCCAAACGAAACAATCTAAAAAACTGTTCTTGACTTTACATTTGAACAAATCGACCTTTAAAGTTTAAGTTAGTAAACATAGTTAACCCATATCTAATTTCTTTTCTAAAGTTATAAAGAATATGATTAAAATTAATAAATACTCACTAAACGTCGTAGACTATACCTAGGTCCTTTCTCAAATTATCCTAAAATGAATACGCCCCTATCGGTTTTCAATAATTCTGAGTCCATTTTCAACAAAAATTATTGTTTTACTTTTTTCTTTCCATCTAAAATAATATACTTATATATATATATATGTGTGTGTGTGTGTGTGTATATATATATGATAGTAACAAAAATTCATTTCTGAACTATCGATTTAATTTCAGAGAAAATTAAAAATGATAATTACTTACTTTAATAACAAAAATAAAGAATGGGTGTCAGTATATGTCTCAAATGGCCCATATCATAATTAAATGAAAATTTTCAAACTTACTGGTATGGATGTGGTTAGAGCTATGTGATATATCTGCAGAATAACAGAATATTCAACAAGATATTTACTACGAAGTGATGCTGTGTTTTTCTGTAGACCTGGATTCGTGAGAATAAAATAAAGAGACTGGAAGTTTTATTCAGTTGCATACCGTAAGAAAAATGCTACACCCCTGGTGCCAGTTATTTACTGTAGCGGACTACTTAATTACAATAATCTGGAAACCACGGACCAGAGAAATGTGGGGTTGGTGGATTGGAAGAATAGTTTTGTTTAATAACCAAGAAAAATACCAGTTTTAGAAAGAAATACAAATTTAATGACCGGACACAAGCAAAATATCTGTGCTAAACTGCAAGGACATAGCCAAGGCCTAGTTTGAGTGAGCGAAGATAAATTCTCGACCTATAAAGGAAGTGTTACGACAGCGGGGGACACGTGACTCTAGTAACACGTCATATTCTCGAAGCTTCGTGAATCCTCGGGAGGTTACTAGATGTACGGTATTCTTTTATTTAAGACGGCCAAGAAGTGACGGCAATGTAATGTAATTGAACTGTGGACAGAGAGAGAGATTGTTGAGTCGGTGAGGCGTTCGTTGTGAATTATAGCGTTAGTTATAGCGTGACTGTTAAAATTAAGTGTATTGCAAAGTTGTATTCAGAAAGAATAAATCAGTTTTATTAAGAAAGGACCTGTGTCGCTAAAGTTCATCGGAAAGAATTTTTACGAAAATTAACTAACGAACGGAGATGTAACAAATTGGTGTCAGAGAGTGGGACAGAAAAGAAAAAAATGGAAACGAGAAGAGGCAAATCAAACTACAGCTTAGCAGATTTGATGGCAGCAATACAAGAACAGCAAAAGAAACAAGAAGAGAGACAACAGCAGTTGCAAGAAAACCTGCAACAGTGGCAGCTCGAACAACAAAATAAACAAGAAGAGAGATTACAGCAGTTGTTAGAGGAAAAAGAAAAGAAACAAGAAGAAAGGATTACAGCAGTGGCAAGAAAACCTCAACAATGGCAGCTCGAACAGCAAAATAAACAAGAGAGATTACAGCAGTTGTTGGAGGAAAAAGAAAAGAAACAAGAAGAACGAGAAAAAAAACAAGAAGAGAGATTACAGCAGTTGTTGGAGGAGAAAGAAAATAAACAAGAAGAGAAATTACAGCAGTTGTTAGAGGAGAAAGAAAATAAACAAGAAGAACGAGAAAAGAAAGAAGAAGAGAAACTACAGCAGTGGCAACTGGAACAAGAAAGGAAACAAGAAGTACAAATGGAAAAACATTAGTAAATTGAAAAGCGAATTAGATACGTTATAGGAAGATCTATTGTCTTTTACACAAGGAGGATACATTGACCATCGACTTAATCAGCCCCA